ATTCCCATGACTACTCGTCAGACTGTACTCTTGCCCAGTCATGGATGAATGGGGGCCAAGGAACAATGTGAAGCATATCCAGGCTGTCTCAGAAGAAGGTGCTTATTTGGGAACTAGTCAAGAGCTTGTAAATGACAGTGGAAATGCACATGAGGAAGATTAAAGGAGTCAGTTGCATAGAGACATCCTAGCCATTTCTGACCCAGGCGAGTGGTAACAATGGGTCAGGAGAAAGAGGTCACAGAGATCTTTAGGGTGAGCTAAAATTCTAGCAATAGCCAGAGAAACAGGGGTACCAGAAGATGCAGAAAGATGTGGAAGAGATTTTTTCCCAGGGAGGAAGAAGACAGTAGTGTTTCTTTCATGTTCAGTGAAATTTGCAATGGCTACTAAGTGACCCAGTTGTGTGGTCTTTAAAAGATACAGCTATAAATGTATTTCTTTCAGAAGAGCCTGATCTGTGCTGTGTCTGCAAATTTTGGAAAGGTGAGTGGAAATCATAACAGCATTCTCCAAACTGGGATTTAAGTGGTCCCAGATTGTTCTAGGATCCCAACTAGTGCCTTTTTGAATAAAACTTTGGGAAGTGGTGTTGCTGGTGGGGAGGATAAAGATAGGGAGAATGTCTTAATCTAAATTTTACCGAGGGTACCTATATCAGATAGGGAAGGTTAAGTTATGCTGCAGTAATGACTACCCCAAAATCTCGAATAGGTTAAAAAAATTCATTTCTAATTCAGGCTGTATGTACTCTGGGGTTCAGCTGGGGCTGTGCTCTACATTCTCTCTCAAGGACCCAAATCAAGAGAGATTTTATCTCTGGTCTGCCATATTTGCTCTGGCATGAACAGGAGAATGCAGCAAATCATCAGTCCTTAAAACATCAGTCCACAAGTGACATTTACCATTTCTGCTCACATTCCATTGGTCATAGAAAGTCATATGGCAATACTTCCATGTATTAAAAAGAAAAGCTCAAAATATTCTATGAATAGCTCTAATGACTCCCCAGATACCTACTTTATTAAAATGATATCGTGGTTATTGGTAGAGGTTGGTCTTAAATGATGATGGGTCTGAATAGTCAGCAGGGATATGAGAAAATAATTTAGGATTTCTGCTCCTACTCCTGGCCTCAATCCTTCTCTTGATCTGATAATAGATTTTAGATATCAGCATCTGTGACAGGCCAAATAAGATCCCGCCCAAAGATGTCCACATCCTAGACTACAGATCTGTGAATATGTTAGCTTATAGAGCAAAGGTGACTTTGAGGGATAATTAAGGACCTCAAGATAGGGAAGTTATCCTGGATTACCAAGGTGGGCCCAGTGTATTCACAAGTGTCCTTGTAAAAAGAAGCCAGGACTGTGAGTCAGAGAGGAAGATATGACAACAGAATCAAAATAAGAGAGAGTTTTGTAGATGTTGTACTGCTGGCTTTGAAGATGGAGGAAGGAGTCACAAGACAAAGAATGTAGAGGACCTTTAGAAGCTGGAATAAATCATGGAGATATATTCTCAACTGGAGCTTCCAGAAAGAGTATAACCTTGCCTATACCTTGATTTTACTAGATAGAGCATTTCACAATTCTGAACTCCAGAACTGTAAGAGATTATGTTGTTTTAAGCCACTAAATTTGTGGTAATCTGTTCCAGTAGCAACTGGAAACTAATGCAATGTCCCAGAAGAAGGGAAATACTCTGTAGAACTTCAGGTGACAGTCAGAGCTTGGGATGGGCAAGGTTAGATGACAGTCAAACCTCATTGTTAGATGTGATGACTAAATCCATTCCCAGCACTCAAACCCGTTGACCGGATAAGCCAGGTGGCTCCAACTCCAAAGCTATTCCTAATGAGAGAACTTGGTCTTATCACTTAATTATATTTCAAATGAGAAAAACCCAACCCCAAATGCACAATAAAACAAGAGGTTTTTTCTTGCTTTTCTTCATTCTAACCTTTTCCTCTGAACATTCTCTCCTTTCCCTCAGTCTCTGCTCCTTTTAATTTCAGGTGAATCCAGTAGCAGACGCCAAAGCTAAATGAGGTGCTTCCATCATTTCTAACATCTTCCACTGCAGAGCACTACATAGTTTCAGTATTGAAAGAAATTTTTAAAAGCTAATAGGGACAACCACTCATCCCAAACTTAAATCCACATACAACTTCCTTACAAGCTTAATGTCCAAAAAACTTCTGTAAAGCAGAATGCACTGCCTCTCAAAATAGTCTTTTTCATCTTTGAACAATGAAAAGAGTTTAGATCAGTATGAGTAAAAATTAATTTATTTTCTTCATGGTTACTGTTCACTGGCCCTTTTATCCCTAGGAATAGCCAAGAATACAAAGTAAGTCTAATTCTACATTTAAATGATAAGACTTAAAAAACCTGAAGACATTAGTGATGTTTAAGAACAAAACTAATTCCCTTAGGAACAATAGCTAAAATACATGAATAACTTGGTAGGAATCTCTTCTTCTGAATAGTTTATTTTCATGTTCCAATAATGTTATGCATTTGATGAAGAGGATGCAAGAAGACTGAGACAAAGACAAATCCCCAATATTATCCATCCCAGTTAAAATTACTGCAATGAAAGTTCTAGGGTAATAAAGAGAAATAAGGAAAATACAGATCCTAGGAGTCGGAAAAGAAGCGTATCAGAGGTCTTCCTGGCCTGTTGTATCACTTTACAGCTATATGGGAACAGAAAGACCAACTTTCTAAATTGCCTTCTGGAATAAATCACCTCCATTGTTATCTCATATGCAATAACAAATCAGCCTAAGAATTTTGAAGCAATTTCTTTTTTAGACCCAAGGCTATATTCTCCATTTGCTTCCCATCCAAATCCATTCCAGGCCTCTGTCTACTCTGGTCTTAGGAGTCTGATTCCTATGGTCAGGATCATTCACCTCTGCTATCTGGTTGAGTTTGGCCATTGGAAGACATCTGCAAACAATATTAAAGTGAGTGGAAATGAGATTAGATTATCTATTCTTCCATGTTAGGCAAATCTATTTTGAAAGAGGTTGTGATACATATAAGCCAGTTTCTCCCATTTAGCTCCAATTAGTTTTTGGTTGTAGTAAAATACATTCCTCTCCCTGCCGATTTATGTCCCAGGTTGGTAATGATTCCTTGTAACATCTTTTATCAGTTCCCTAAAACCTGCTCGTACCTTTCTAAATAGCTCCTTCAATGAATTACCTTTAAAATTCTAGTTCAATGTGCTTTCTGTGTCTCATCAGGACCTCGGCTAATTGACTGGTCTTTCTGTTTGCACTCCTGTCCCTTTCCCAATGATCATTTTAAAATATGAATCACATCATGTCATTCCTCTTCTCAAAACCTCCAATGGCTTCCCATCTCTCTAAGACACCTTGTAGTGTCTTACAAAGACTCCACCTCAATCTATGTAATACAGCCTACTTAAATAGGTAATTTCAAAAAAAAAATATTAAGATGACTGAGGAGTGAAAAGGAAACAGTTATAATAATATAATACAAGTTTTAGGATCAAAACACTTACCCATGACCCCACTAGAAAACACAATGAAGTGGTGAGAAGGTTGTAGAACCACCAATGAAAATAAGTACATGTACACATACATGTATATGATACACATAAATATATATTAAATTGGCAACTAAGACAAAAGGATTGTCATCACTGACATGGTTTTTCCAAAATGGTTGTGCCAGTAGTAGATTACCGCCTCTTGGTTCTAAATCTGTTCTTCCTTGCCTGCTCTGTGAAAATGGAATTGGGTCCTTTATATATTTTCCCATTCCACGATGTTAATCCTTTTTAGTCGAGAGTGCAGGAGGTCAAGGAGTTCCTCCCTGGTTCCAGTGTGCTACTGTCCACAGGCTCCTGTAGTATGCTTAGCTTTTAGAGTGCACAGGTCTTCCACCATGGGCAGCTTCTTCAGTGCCATCCTCCTGCAGCATGACTGTTTATCTGGCATCCAGATCCTGCAGTGTGTAGTTTCTTCAACACTCAACTCCCAACTCCTACAGGGCTTGCAGCTCCTGCAGTCCCAGACTCCTACACTATGACAGAACTCCAGCATCCAGCCACTGCAATGATTAGGGATCAGAAGAACACAGCAGCTGACTGTTCCTCCAAGACATCCCTCACTCTATTTCACAACAGAATGCCTCAGAGAAACACTCCCTAATAATAGCATTCCCAGCACCTGATATTCTGGAGAGTTCCAAAGAGGGAACTTCCAGCAAGTTCTGCCAGTGAAGAACCACAGTAACTTTTTACCATTCAATGAATCATGGCCACACCCTCTTTAGCCAGTTCTGGCTCTCAGCTGGCTGCCCCCTCCTCTGTACTTTCTATCTCAGTCCAAGGAATGGTGTGGATCCTTATATCTGCCATAAATATTCTTTAGAATTCTCTTCTCAGTTATCTACTCCTTGTTATTCTAATTCTATGTTATAATTAAAGATACTTTAAGGGCCAACATAGCATAACTATGTTATAGTTTAAAATGATGGTGGTGAAGACACTGGACTCCTACACGGCCAACTGCACTTTGAGCCCTGGACCCAGCAGCTTGAAAATCATGTCAGATGCATATGTGTGTGTGCCCAAAATTCCGGGAGGAGGGGTGATTTCTTACTTTCCCTCCCTCTGTCTCTCCTCTCTCCAGTGAGCACACACACACCCTATAGCAAAAACCTAAATTAAAAAAAAAAAAAACCTCACTTTATTTTAAACATTTCTTGTTTAAATTATCACATGGTTTCCTGATTAGACCCTGACTAATTGAATAGTAAACAACACTTAGTAAAGTTTCTGAGGACATAAAATCGTTTTCTTTCATCTCCATTGTAACTACAGTTCTAATTCACTGACTATAGATTGGTGTTTTAAAAAAAAAATACTTTGTAGGGCTAGATGGTAGCACAGCATAAATGTGACACTCTGCAAGGTTAACCCACATCGAGGGTTCCAGGTTCATGTCCACAGACCTTCCCAAATACACCAAGCAGCATGTGAGCATGTGTGTGCTTGTGATTCAGGGCTGGCTAACCCTGCTAGTAGATCACAGAATCAAGATCATTTTTAGGGTTCTCTCCTTCTCCCCTTCTCCCTCCCCCTGTTCTCTCTCTCTCTTTTATTACACTTAGGTTCTAGACTCAGAAAACTATAACCAGTTTTGCACCTGTGTACAGGGAGGCCTCTTACAGCTATATAACTGTTTAGATTTTGCACAACACAATCCCATGGGGCCACCATGCCCAGGAGCCCTGTGTCCATAGTGCCTCCACATATTCTGCAGTGAACAACTTGCACATTTATATGAACATTTGTATGCTACACAAGTACTCTTTCACGTATTTGAAAGTTATGTGAGATATAGGGTAATTCTTCTGCAGGACTTTCTCAGCTGTTGAAATACATTTAGTATCTTAGCCTCCTGCCATTCTATGATGGCAACAAATCCCAAAAAGCACATTGTAAATTTACAAATAACACCGCTGAAAACAGCAGCCCATTCACACCTCATTTCTCTAATCTCTTATTTATTTTAGGCATTTTTATTGTTGTGGTAACATTTAACTTGAGATCTCCCTGCCCTCTTAAAGTTTCAAGTGCATAATACAGAATTGTTAACCACAGGCACAAAGTTGAATGCCAGATCTCCATAGCTTTTTAATCTCATCATTTAAGCTCTCATTTTCAATTCAGTCACTCCAACTTCTTGATATTCTTGAAGCAGTTAATGTTGTCTCCTTTCCCAAGAGTCTGCAACTTACTGTTCCTCTTCATGGAACACTTAAGCTGTAGTGTGTCCAAACTCTCCTTCACTCTACTTGGATCCCTGTTCAAATGTCACCTTATCAAATAGTCCTTCTCCAGCCACCCTCTATAAGATAGAATTTCTACACTTATCCCAGCACATTTGTCCCTCTTAATTTGCTATAATTGTATTACCACCACAATCACTGTCTATAGCAAGATATATTTCACTAACTATTTATTTTTTGGTGTCCCCTCACTGGCACTTAAGTTCCATGAGACCAGAGACTTGACCTGTTTTGTCCTCAGCACCCAGAACAGCACTTTAACGAGTACCCCCCCCAACAATTATTTGTGCAGTGAATAGTATATGATCACAATTTTACTCATAATAACACATGCTCAGTAACACTAATTTTTCTATTTATCCAAGTCAATGAATTCAGTTACTTCACTTTTTCTGTTCTTCTGCCTATACGAAATATGATTTGCACTGCCAAAAGAAAAAAATACTCAAAGAACCATCAAGTTCTGTTTTAGAATATTTGCTCACACTGAAATTTTTGGTGTGAAAAGATGAATGCACAGTTTTCACATGAGAAGTTGTGTGTTCTCACTACATTTATTTAAGCTAAGTAAGCCCTCTATATATGTTTGGAAGACAAAGGAAAAGATAGAAACTATCCTGGCGTGACCCAGGGCACTTGACCTGCATTACCATATTTAATCTATACAGAAATCTTGAAAAATATAAAGTAAATGAAAGCAATTTTATCAAACTAAAACTAAGCCTTAGTGATATTAAGTAAATAGAGTAGAATTCAAAACTATGTCTTTCTGACTCCAAAATCTATGCCCAGTGTATCATATCACTGCAATAAGATGATGAAATATGTTGAACACAAATGCAATTTTCCCACAATTTGAACATCATTTTAAGGGTCACAGTTTATAGATAAAAAATCCTGATGCATTTCTAAGGATATTTATTTCATGCTATTTATGAGTAATACCTAGAAACACTTGGAAAATAAACTCTTCCTCGCCATTACATGAATTATGCCAAGATTTTTCCTTATCATGCCATACTTTTATTTAGTCAGTTTATTAACTAATAGGATCTACTCTGTCTTATGAATTGTTTTGATGTTATTATTGACAGGTTATATTCTGCCTACTTAATTATAATATTCTAAAATAACTCATCTCTTTTTGTTTTACCAGAGCAAAATTAAGAGAGCTAGATGCTTCCACGCTCCTCCCATTTTTTCCTTCTAGAATTTAGTTAGAGGAAAGCCGAAAATTAGAGAAGATAGACTGCAAGAACTGCTTACTGCACAGTGGGCCTGACCCCCTAAGGTCAAAAACCAGAATCCAGCTAGGCAATATCCACTCTAATAGCCAGTGCTCAACTGGCTTTGGACTAGTGTTCTTTTTTTTTTTTTTTTTTTTTGGAGAGGTTTTCGCTATAGGGCGGGTGCGCTCGCCAGACAGACAGAGAGAGACAGAGAGACAGAAAGTGAAAAATCACCCCCCAGAGGGGATGAACACGCTGCAATCCGTTCTCCTCCATTCTCCCCTCGGGATCTTAGGCACACGCGCACACGCGCCCGGTGTGAGTTTTAAGCCACCAGGCCCGGGACGCAAACCGTGGTCGACTACATGGGAGTCCAGTGACATAGCCATTACGCTAATTGCTGGTTCCCTGGACTAGTGTTCTTATCCTTAGGAGTCCAAGAGGTATTTATGACTTCTGTGTACCCAATTTGCTGTTAGCTCCAAATTACAAAGAAGTCAGAACCTTAACTAAACTTACATATAGAACGATAAAATATAACCCAGGTCCATCTGTCTCCAGGGCCTATGCCCTTGGCCACTGACTGTGACACAATCCCTATCAGAGAGGGCAGGAGCATCATGACTACCAGTGGCAGTTTGGAAAGGCAGAGACCTTGGCTACAAGCTAGGTAGAAAGGGGTCAGAATCAAAACCCTGCTGAAAACAAGACACGAGCAGCTGTACCCAGGAACCAGTTAAGTGTGTCAAGGCTTAGGGAAGGCTCCAAATTCTAGCCAGAAGGTAGAATGCTAAGACAAGAAACAGAAACCAAGGGCAACAGCAAATGAGCACAGGGCAGCAGATGGTGTAGTGGTTATGTCGCTGGACTCCCACATGGCCAGGCAAGGTTTGAGTATTGTACCCAGTGACTTGAAACTCATGCTGGGTACATGTGCATATATGTTCAAGATCCCAGGAGGAGATTAGAGGAGAAGGGATTGTGGCATGGCCACTCCCCCACCCCCCGGGAGTGATACCTCTCTCTTTTTCTCTCTCCCTCTCCCTCTCTCTCCTCTCTCTCCCTGGCAAGTGCACATGTCCTAAGGCATAAAACCTCTAAAAAATAATAATTAAAGAGTAAAATAGGCACACTAGGAGTAAAGAAATATATGTCTGGTATATGAGCACTTAGAGCTCATTTTAGGCACACCACTCCCCCAGTAACATATACAATCTATTCCACAGGTTGATAAGTCTCACTTCATGCAAGGCACTGAGCATGGCATCTCAAGAGCTTCTGGAGTTACATACAAAAGCCTAACTTGATAAAAGACGACAAAGTTCACAAAATTAATCAATACACAAACATATGCAACACTATTGACTTCATTTATACAACTAATATTTCCTGAGTATATAATATGGGCCAGGCACTTTTCTAAGCATAGACTTTTGATATTCTACTCAAATTTTAAGTCTAAATGTGTATTTTTTTACTCATGTCTCCAGATGTGTACCTATTATGACTACTCATATCCCTGACATATAATTTCTGAAACTTAACCATAGTAGGTGTTTTTCAGGTAGAAAAAAAGAAGAGCTTCCCAGGCCAAGAAATAAGTGGCATGAACAAATGTTCTGAAATATCAACGATCTCTGTCTGCTTGGGAAAGGTGGAAAGAGTAAGGTGAGTGAAGTGGGATAATTGGTGGGTAGGAATGACGAAGTCACCATCTTTATTTTTACCTATGAGAAAAATTTCTGGTCAAGGAGGGAAATGCTGTAGAAATAGCTGGAGGCGGGGCCAGCAGGTGGTGTGATGGTTAAGGCATTGAACTCCCACATAGCTGATGTGGTGGCTTGTTTTCTCACTTTCTCTCTCTCTCTCTTTCTCTTTCTCTCTCTCTCTCATCAAATTAAAAAATAATAAGAATAAATAAAATTAAATAAATGATTCTTTAAAAAAAGTGGTTGGAGACAGATCAGACTTTTGTATTATAACCCATTTCATACTCATTCTACCTAAGGCACTTAAGCTTTGCAGGTCATCTCATTCTCAGGAGGAATGTGCTTTGTAATTTGATCATTTCTATTTAGAATCTGTTCCAAAGAAGGTTTGATTTCTGGGAGAAAAACCTGGACAGGTTCCCAGCTTCTCTTCAGTGCAACTTTCATTCACAGCATGGTTTCCTCATTCTCTTTGATGCGAACTTCCAAAACATCAGATATAAGCAATATTCAAACATAGATTCAATAAACCTATCCAAAGCCAAATGCAAATGTTTTCACAATATCCCTCACTTTACATTGGCCATGTCTTGAGTGTATTAGCTCACAAGACTAGAGAGTCATCTCTTTTTGACCATTAGAGCTGCCGCAGTAAGATTTGGGTTGGCCCTAAATACGAGTGCTATCTCGTGGAACAAGCTGGGGTTGAAACCCAGTGCCAATTCTGCCTGTGAATTCATAGAGCCTGAAAAGAGTGGTGTCCACCTCCCAAATAAAACATCTGGGTTTCTTCCATGCTAAGAAACCATTTTGGCTGGTGGTACCCAACCATTTTGTCACCAGTGACTGGTTTTATGGAAGACAATGTTTCCATAATAGGAGAGGGATGATTCAAGTGCATTACATTTATCAGTGAGAGCCTTGAGCTTATTTTCCAACAACTAGATGGTTTCACCTGGGGGTTCCTATGAGAATCTAATGTTGCTGCTGGTCTGACTGGAGACAGAGTCACACAGTAATGTGAGCAAAGGGGAACAGTTGTAAATGCAAATGAAGCTTCCCTTGCTCACCTGCGCTGACTTCCTGCTGTGTGGTGCAGTTCCTGCTGCATGGCCTGGGGAGTAGAGACCCCTGATTTAGGCCATTAGAGGCCTTTGAGCTCACCAGAGAAAAAAAACAATCCTATATGAAACACTACTATTTCAGCCAAAATGACTAATGACAAAAGATCGTTCCATCTAGAAGAAAATGCATTGAGCTCTTAGACCTTATTGAACTGACCTTTTAAAAAATAGTACAATATATGTAAATACATGACTGTCCTATAAAAAGCAGAGCAATGACAGCTACATATTATTGGTAATAATATTTGTGTTATTATTATTATTTTCAGAGTCAGGACTATTTCTATAATTGACTTAAAAAGAGTGACAAGTGAGTGCATAGCTAATGTCCTATTATTTCACTCTTAATTGAATGAAATGATTCTGATCTACTAAAGAATACTTAAACTATCTCATGATTCTTTAAAAAAAAATCTGACATAAATATGGCAATGTCTTAAATTGTGGCAGAATTGGGTGAAAAGGTATCCCAGAGTTCTACCAGTCTCACTAATTTTCACAATGCTTAAAATGTTACATAATCTTAAATAATATACAAATACCCTATTCTCTTGAAATGGAAAAGATAGCTTTGATACTGCAAGCAGGGGCAAGAATTCTCCAGCACTAAGTCAAGAGGCTGAGCTCTGGTCCCATTTACTTCCTATGTGACCTTGAGCTGGTCAATTTACTACCTCTGACCAAGAGCTTTCTCACCTGTAAAATATAAGAATTGGACTGGATTATCTCCCAGGTTCTTTACTCTAAAATTTTATGACCAGCCTACTTTTTGACAGCTGAAAAAGATGGGTCTCATTTTAATGCATATTGTCTGTCTGCATATCTCACATATAACTGATTGCAAATGCCTAGAAGCTAAAATGAAGGGTCAAAGAAGTGCCATCTGCTTCTATTACTGATTACATTGTGAAGCTGCCTCAAGTTTTGGGGTTTTTTTTGTTTGTTTATTTTTTTAAGCATTTAGTGAAAAGTAGAAGTTGGCAGGAAATGTGTTGTAAACAATATCATCCCTGCACATTTACTGAATAATTTATAGCCAGTATGTGGTAGAAGCATAATTTTAAAACTGCATTTTCCCCCCAAATACCTGAATGTTCTAACATCAGTAACAAATTATTTAGTTCGCATTGCTTTGAAAAATGTAGTGTTTAAAGATTGATGTCTCGGACACAAATTTATTTTATTTATCAATTTCCTTTGAATCAATCTTGCTGTATTATACTGGAATGAATTATTTGCTATAATTGACTACCTCTTCCCTTGTAACTTTTCACATATACTTTATAATTTTCATCTTTTTCCAGATTAGTTACAAATAAAAATTGTATAAACTTAAGATGTGTGACATCATGCTCTCATAGATGTTCATTATGAAACAATTACCACAATTAAGCTAATTAACACATTTATCACATCCCAGTCACCATTTGTGTGAGGTGAGTAGGAGTGAAGACACTTAATACCTACTCTCTTAGTAAATTTCAAATATACAGTACAGTGTTCTCAATTATAATCTAATGTCATACATTAGATCTCCAGAACTTACTTGATCTGCATAACAGAAGCTTTGTTCCCTTTGATCAATGTCTCCCTATTTACCTTAAGTCCCAGACTTTGGTAACCACCATTCTACTCTGCTGTTATGAAAAACTTTTTTAGATTTCACATATAAATGAGATCATGCAGTGTTTATCTTTCTACATCTGATTTATTTCACTTAGTGTAATATCCTCCAGTTTCACTACTGTTGTCACACATGGTAGCATTTCCTTCCTTTTTTAAGTCTGAATAATATTCCAGTTTCTTTATCCATTCCTTCTCCCTTGGTTACTTGTTTTCATATTTTTGCAGTTATAAATAAGGCTACAATGAGCATGGAAGTGCAAATACTGCTTCAATACATTAATCACTTATTTTGGATATACACTCAAAAGTAAGATTGCTGGATCATGTGATAGCTATATTTACAGAGTTTTTTTGAGAAAACTTCCCTACCATTCTCCATAATGGCTATACTAGTTTATATGCCCACCAACAGTGCATCACTGTTTCTCTTTTTTTTATATCCTCACCAACATTTATTCCTTTTTGCCTTTTTAAATAATAGTTATTCTGGGACCAGCAGTTAGTGTAATGGCTATGTCACTAGACTTCCATGTAGTCAACCGCAGTTCGAGTTTTGGACCTGGTGGCTTAAACTCATGCCAGGCACGTGTGCATGTGTGCATGTGTGCCCAAGATCCTGAGAGGAGAATAGAGGAGAAGGAATTGCAGCGTGGCCATCCCCCATGGGGGGTGACTTCTCGCTTTCTGTCTCTCTGTCTCTCTCTGTCTTTCTGGAGAACACACATGCCCTATAGCAAAAAAATCTTAAAGAAAAAGATAAAAAAAAAAAAAAAAAAAAAAAAAAAAAAAACCTATAAATAATAATAATAATAGCTATTCTAATGGGTATGATATATTTCACTTTGGATTTTATTTGCATTTCTCTGATTAGTAATGTTGATCATGTTTTCATAAACCTGTTTATTATTTCTTTTGAGAAATGTCTACTCAGCTTCTTTGACCATTTTTAAATCAGTTTATTCATTTCATTTTTCTGGTGTTTTCTTTTGGCTTTCACTATTGAGTTGAATTTCTTGTATATTTTGGACATTAACTCATTATCAAATGTATGATTTGCAACTATTTTCTCTTATGCTATAGCTCATCTCTTCACTCTTTTGATTGTTTCCTTTGCTGTGTAGAAACTTTTTACCCTAATGTAACTCCACTTACCTACTTTTGCTTTTATTGCCTATGTTTTGAAGTCATATCTAAAAAATCATCACCTATACCAATGCCAAAAAGCTGTTCCTTCTGTTTTCTTCTAGTAGTTTTATAGTTTTAGGTTCATTTAAGTCTTCATTTCATTTTGAGCTGATTTTTCTAAGTGGTATAACATAAAAGCCCAATTTCATTCTTTTGCATGTGTATATACAGCTTTCCTAATACCATTTTTTGAAGAAATTGTGCTTTCCCCATTGTGTGTTCTTGGTACCCTTGTCAAACAACATAAATAGGTGTTCATCACTGGAACCTTTTTGTACCACTGTGTTTCTATTTTTGTTTACATCAAGGTATTTTAAAATTCTCTTTTATTCTTTGACCCATTGATCAATTCAGGGAAATGTCATTTAATTTCCACATTTTGAGAATATTCCAAGATTCTTCCTGCAATTGATTTCTATTTTCATACCAATGTAGTGGGGAAAAAAAGGTTTGATATGATATCAATCTTCTTTCATTTGTTAAGACTTGTTTTGTGATCCAGCATATGTCTGTCCCAGAGAATGTTCTATGTGTGCCTGAGAATGATGTATATTCTTCTAATGTTGAATGGGATGCTCTCCAGGTCTGTTAGGTCCATTTCATGTAAAGTTTATTTCAAATCTATTAGAGTCACTTGATCTACAGTGTCATTCAAGTATACTGTTTCCATATTTTCTGTATGGATGATCTACATTGTTGAAAATGGAGTATTAAAGACTCCTGTCATCATTGTATTTCTGTATATTTCTCCTAACATTTCTATTAATATTTACTTTATATATTTAGGTGTTTCAATGCTGGGCATGAAATTGTTTTCCCCAAAAGGACTCACATATTCTTTTCATATATTTTTTAATCCAATGGTTTTTTTCCATTGAAACATTCCATTTTTCCTCACAGAAAAAAGTCTTCTCTGGTATTCAAATTGCATAAGATAAAATCATATTATAATTGATAAATTAATATAAAGATATTTTACTTAATTATAGAGGAAATATTACTTTGTAGTTATCTGCAATCTGAT